TACCCCCCCCAAAAAAAATTCTGTACCATGGCTAGATATTATTACCCTAAATCCATCTTGTTTCCTCACTAATTGAGAAGCTGGGAATATCTCATTCCATTCTTACTGTGATTGGGGGTTAGGGAAGGGTTAGTGATAATAGCTGTATATATATGTATTTTAAAAAAATACTCCATGGCTTAATTATACTGTATTACCAGAACATGAAAGCAACAGAATTTGTGTACTTACAACTTTGTAACTATTTTGTGTTGACGTTTCTTTAGGCTCTCCATTGTCTGCACCTAAATAATAAATTGACACACTGGACTTGAAGTCTGGGAGCCTCTCAGGTGACCTAGAAGTTCCTGGTGACTGCTCTGTCTGGTTGGCCCCACTGCGGGGCATCTATGGGTGTGGTTGCTTCTGCACGGGGTCCTAGGTAGGCGTGTATAGTATACCGTTCTCTGGGATTTTACAAAGATGCCATTCTTGGCACACTGAAAATCATTTGTGCACAACCTGTTTTTTCCCATCTATGAATCTCATTCAATTAGAATGTAGTTTATGAAGAGTATCCCATTTTTAAATGTAATTTCAAGTAGCAGACAGCAGCTGTGCATATTACTTGGCTGCTTCAGACCTTCCTACTTACCCTTCAGACCATCCTGGCAGCCCATGTAGCAAAGGTGGGAAGCAGGCCGACTTCTCGGACTCATTGCTGCCACCTGCTAAAGCCTGGCTACTGATGCACGAAGGCTGCTGAGTGAGTGCACTTCAGGGAGGATCAAGAATCGTGATTCTAGGTGCGAAACCTACCTGTGAGTAAAAGGCAGAACCTGTGTGGTGCATCTGTCTAGCAGGCCTGAGGCTCAGCGAGCTTAGCAATGCACAAAGGACCTAGAGCTCCTAGGATCTTAAAGCTGGGAGAGCCCTTAGGGCAGATGGTGTGAGGCATTAGTGTAGTTAAATCAGAGCCACATTCCTGGCCCCAGAGGTTTTGATTCACTGGGCCCAAGATGAGGTTTGTTTAACAAGCTTCCTGTGAGGTTCTGATGCAAGTAATTGCAGCATGGCCCTGGAGAAGGGCATGGCTTGAACTATTTACGTAAGCAAGAGCCTCTTAATTATTTTCCTCGTTTCAATAAATATTTTAAAAGCATGTCTTCATTTCAGTGGCAAAAACGTCAAACCATGTGCACTGCATGTGCATATGTGCACACACACACACACAGAGTCTGCATTGTGGTACTCCCAGGCCCTGCAGAGTTGCTGTGCGTTCCAAGTAACTCGTGACCTGTGTGGGACACACCGTTAAGTCGTTATGTTTGGTGGCCAGAGCTAGAATTTGAACTCAGATTTCCATGCCACCTTTTTCCATAGTTCTGGCTCAGCGATGGTAAAATTTTCCATATCAGAATAAAGCCATGCTTCTAAATAAATAACAAAAAATATCATCTAAAAGAACACTCGAGGTATTTTCTGTGTGGTAGTTTAAGAGTGGTGTTGGGTGGCATTGCCAATGCTCTTCTCCTGAACGGGTTCATCCTACACTCCTACCACCACAGACCCCTCCCAGTACTCCCTCTCTTCCATGTCAGCTTATGACCTAGAAAGCCAATATAGACAGACCCAGGACCAGAGCACTGGAAACATGGCCTCATACCACGCTGGGCGTCCTGAGGGTCTAGCATTCACTCCTTCCACCCCACCCCAGTCAGAAACTAATGGCAACATCCATATGGCATACACTTCAGCTTACCTACTCAAGTGTAGACCAAATGTTAATTTTTTTTTTTATGTTACATAACTTTTTTTTTAATGTTTTATTGTGAATTATATGATAGTTTACATGGGAGAACCTTAGTCTTACATTCATTCCATCGTATATCATCTCATTGCCATGGTTCCAATCCCCTCCATGCATCATCAACCAACCAAAGGGTATATCCTAGAAACCCACCCTCTACTCTTCCCCCTCCTCCCTCAAATGTTAATTTTGACTCGCACAAAATTTGTATATTGTTGGCTTGTTTCGCTTTTCTTACATCCACTGCTTCTTGAGGGGCATATTTTGGATTAGTCTTACTAAGAATTTTTGGATGGGATGAATCACTCTTAATACTGAAACCAGTCTTTGAATTGAAGCGCACACACCAAAATTGTTGGATTGGTTTGTTCTACAGCAAGAAAATTACTTTAGTAATTAACTTTTCTCTGCGCTCCAAGAAAGAAGGACTATAATTTGTATTAGTCAGCTTATAGTAGAATATCTTTTGGCCTTGCAATTTGGCAAGGAAAGGTGGGGTTTTATGTTACATAGCTGACATTGCTGTGTGTACAGCGATCATTTGGTGAGTTATCTCTCGGGTTTTGATGTGGTGCTGTGCGTTAATGTGCTAGACTGCAGATTGGTTTGAACCACAATGTTGGCAGTTTAAGCTCACCAGTTGCTCCTTGGAAACCTTACTTAGGGTCACTGTGGGTTGGAACCGACTTGACGGCACTTTACAACAACAACAACGAAGGTACAATACAGAGTTCTGCCCCACATCACTGCTCACCTTTTTCCCTTGCAAAAGCCAAGCACGAAAAAGCTGCTACACCGTAATTCTTAGATTACCGTACTCTAGTTTCTTACTCTTCATTCTGACTTGGAAACTTGGCCAACACAAATAATAATTGCTCTCATTACACAGATAAAGTTAAGGGTCCTCCTAGCAAGTTTGAGAACCTATCATGGAACTTAAAATTCGGAATACCTGTTGTTTGCTTGGTTTAGGAAAATATGATATGTGCTTTTAAATATGTGTCTTACTTTTTTGTGCTGCTATAGAGTCCTTGTGTGGCTCTGTGGGTTAATGCACCAGACTGCAAAGCTGTTTGAACTACAAGATCGGTGGTTTAAGCTCAGCAGCTGCTCCTTGGGAACCCTATACAGGGTTGCTATGGGTCGGAACCAATTCCACAGCACTTAATAACAACATAGCAGTCCTGATGTGGCACCATCGGATAAGCGCTAGGCACTTAACAACAACAACAAATAGGAGAAATGCCATGTTGGGGGGCTTATCCCTTCTTCTTCTTCTTAGTGGTGGTGGTGATGTGCCGTGGAGTCGGTTCTGACTCATAGCGACCCTGTACAGGGTTTCCAAGGCTGTAAATCTTTACAGGAGCAGAAAACCTCATCTTTCTCCTGCGGAACAGCTGGTAGCTTCAAACTGCTGACCTTGTGGTTCGCAGCCCAATTCGTAACCACTACGCTACCAGAGCTCCTTCTTGTTAGGTGTTAGTCAATATTGACTCATAGCGACCCTCTGCACAACAGAATGAAATACTGCCCAGTCCTGCATCATTCTCAACCTTCATTCCTACGCCTGAGCCCATCGTGCTGCCCTGTGCCAATCCATTTCATTGGAGGTCTTCCTCTTTTTCTTTGACCCTCCATTTTACCAACCATGATGTCCTTCTCCAGGGGACTGGTCCCTTGTGATAATATGTCCAAAGTATGAGAGACAAAATCTGCCCATCTTGGCTTCTAAGGAGCATTCTGGCTGTACGTCTTCTAACACAGATCGTTTGTTCTTCTGGCAGTCCACGGTACTTTTAATATTCTTCTCCAACACCGTAACTCAAATGCATCATTCTACTATGGTGTTCTTTATTCACTGTCCACCTTTCACATGCATATGAGGTTATTGAAGATACCATGGCTTATCCCTAGCAGAAGTTTATTCCTTCACAGTTTAGGAGACTACAAGTCTGAATTCAGGGAGCCAGCTCTGTCTTCTCTCAGTTCTAGAGGAGAGAGGTCCTTGTCTCTTCAGCTTCTGCTCCTCCTTCTTGGTGATCCTCATTTGGCCTCCATTGATGCTTCCGTGCCTGTACCTTTGATATCTCAAAAGTGATCGCTTTAGAAAGACTCTGCACTGATATGACTTCATTAACATAACAAAGATAGCCCTTTCCCCAGATGGGTTTACATCCGTAGGTAGGTAGGTATGTATGTTGTTGTGTGCGTCAAGTCAGTTCTGACTCACAGAGGCCCAATAAGACAAGAGTAGCACTGGCTCCATAGGATAAGTACTGGACTCCAAACCACAAGGCCAGCAGTTCAAGCCCACCACAGGAGAAATATGAGGCTTTTTGCTCCACAAAAGATTTAAAGCCTTGGAAACCCTGTACAGGGTCTCTGAGTCTAAACCAACTCCACGGTACTTAAGAATAAGGAATCCTGGAGTGACGCTGAAGGAAAAGCACCGAACTGTTAACTGAAGGCTGGCAGTTCAAATTCACCAGGTGCTCCTTGGAAACCCTATACAGGGTCACTATGAGTCGGAACCAATTCGAAGCACTTAACAACAACAATCTTTATGGGACCAGATATCCAGGTCTTTTCTCCTATAGAGCCACTGGTGGGTTGAAACTGCCAACCTTTCGGCTAACAGCTAAGGGCTTAACCGTTGTGCCACCAAGGCACCTTACCCACAGATACAGGGATTGGGATTTACAAAACACAATTTAGTCCGTAATAATACGCTCCTGCTCCTGGAATCAGACTAACCCTGATTGTGAGCTGGGCCTTTGAGTGCTGTATTGTATCAGTCAGCATCTTGTTTAAGGGCCATCAAGTTGGTTCCAACTCAGCCATTCTGTAGAGGGTTTCTGAGGGGCAGCTGGTAGGTTTGAACCTCCGACCTTGTAGTTCAGTGCTTATCCTACAGCACCACACTGGGAGTTTGCTAGTATATTTTCTTCTACACTTTTCTTTAAGCTCTAAAGTTGTTAGCATTCAGAACTTTAACTCCTTTGATGCAAATCATCACATTTCAACCATGGATAGGTTGTATAGAATCAGTGTTTACTGACCATGTTTACAGAGGATTATAAATTTTTTTTTTTCAGGATTATAATTGTTATCATTTTAAATGGACTTTGACATTTTGTTCTCATTTTAAATCGTATTTCCTGCCTTCGTAATCTTACCGCTTGAGGGTTTTGTTTTTGTCTCTTTTTTCCAGACGTACCTGAAGGAAATCTTAAGAGAAATTGGTATTCAGAATGTAAAAGGAGCCCACAAGAACACATGGGAGCTGAAACCAGAGTACAGGCATTACCAGGCGGATGAGAAGAGTGAGTGAGATGGCACCGCCATGCTGACGGAGAGCTGGGGGCTCCTGCCCGGCCGGGACACACAGACACTGAGCACCGCCGCTTACTACGGTCTCAGTGACTGGCTCCTCTGCTTCTCCAGTTACGTTTTTGTAGCCATTAATTCTTACAGAGTTTCTAAGTGTTTTTTGAAAAGAAAGAACAAGTTTATTTATAGACTTTTTGTCAAACCAAATTATTCACGATAGGGATAAAGGTTGAAGATTAAGAGAATGTTTCTTTAAAGTATTAAAGTTTAAAATTAGGAAATTTTTCTAGATGAGAACTATCTGTCCTCGCTGTATCTCTAGGGAGCTGAGGGAAAGCAAATTCTGACTGAATGCACTACGAAAATACATCACTAACTGCAGCTAAAAGGAATAAAGAACCGACGTTCCAAGGTCTGAAATTGTCAAAGAACAAAGCTGTCTTTATTTGTGTATATATAGGTGGTCAGGTGCACATTATGAAATGAGAGCATTTGAGTTTGTACTAAGCAGTTTTCATTTTAGTTGATACTGATATAAAAAAAAAAAAAAATGGGGGGAAAAAAGTCATGATCGATTGGTGTTTATTTAGAAGTTAAATCCCTGTCCAGAATATCAAGATACGTCTTCCCCAGCCAGAGTAGAAGCACTCAGCGACAGGCTTTCGCCTGGGATTTTCTCAGGCCCCCAGCAGGCACGTATTTGAGTGTGGGTATCATGTGACAAATGGTAGCACCTCATTAAAGGAGGGCCGTGCATCTTTGGAAGGAGCTTTGGTGTTACATTGGCTAAGCACTTAGCTGCTAGCAGAAAGGCCAGCAAGCAGTTCAACCCCGCCAGCTGCTCTGTGGTAGTCCGCTACCATAAAGGTTTGCAGCCTCGGAAACTCTGGGGCTGTTCTCCTCTGTCCTATAGGGCCAGTGTGAGTCCAAGTCCACTCAGTGGCAGTTTTGGTTTTGGTGCATCTTTGAGACAGAATGGAGATGAGTCCCATGTGTGTAGACAGAAAAGGTTAATGTCAAAATTATTGCTAGAGAATTGTTAAGTGCCGTCGAGTCGGTTCCGACCCATAGCGACCCTGTATAGGGTTTCCGAGGAGCAGCTGGTGAGCTTGAACCGCTGACCTTGCAGTTCAAACGGCTTTGCAGTCTGACGCATTAACCCACAGCGCCACACCAGGACTCCCTGCTGGAGAGAAGCAGTGTTTGATTTATCTTTCCTTATAATTAGTTTTTAAATAAAAACATTGCTTGTACATGGTTAAGAAATTTTATAGCACAAAATAGTGTGTATTAGGCAATTCAGAATCATACAGCTGTGCCAGCATGTTTCAATGACGAAATGTCTCACAGAAAGTTCTCCTGGGCTTCCTGCCTCGGAAGCACAGCAGTCGGCACCATGGGAAGGTGAGGAGCTGCCCCACAGATGACACCTCCGAGCCTGTCCACCTCGCAGCCTTCCTGTGCTGTAAGGCCAGCATGACCCACATCGTGCGTGAGATCGACAGGTCAGGATCCAAGGTGAACTAGAAGGAAGTGGTGGAGGCTGTGACCATTGTGGAGACGCCTCCCGTGGTGGTGTCGGCATCGTGGGCTACGTGGAAAAGCCTCGAGGTCTCCGGACCTTCAAGACTGTTTTTGCTGAGCACATCAGCGATGAATGTAAACAGCACTTCTGCAAGAACTGACATAAATCGGAGAAGAAGGCTTTCACAAGTACTACAAGAAGTGGCAGGACGATGATGGCAAGAAGCAGCTGGAGAAAGACTTCAGCAACATGAAGAAGTACTGCCAGGTCATCCACGTTGTAGCCCACACCCAGAGGCGCCAGAAGGCCCACCTGATGAAAATCCAGGTGAACGGGGGCACAGGAGCTGAGAAGCTGGAGCAGCAGGTGCCTGGAACCAGGTGTTCAGGCAGGACAAGATGATTGATGTCATCAGAGTGACAGGGGCAAGGGCTACCAAGGGGTCACCAGCCGCTGGCACACCAAGAAGCTACCCCACAAGACCCACTGAGGCCTGTGCAAAGGGCCTGTATCGGGGCCTGGCATCCTGCCTGTGTGGCCTTCTCTGTGGCACATGCTGGGCAGAAGGGCTACCCACCACCACACTGAGCTCAAAAAGAAGATCTACAAGATTGGCCAGGGCTACTGTATCAAGGATGGCAGACTGATCAGAAACATTGCCTCCATTGATTACGATCTGTCTGACAAGAGCATCAGCCCTCTGTGTAGTTTTGTCCACTGTGGTGAAGTGACCAATGACTTGGTCATGCTGAAAGGCTGCATTGTAGGGACCAAGAAGTGAGTGCTCACCCTGCACAAGTCCTTGTTGGTGCAGACCAAACGTCAGGCACTGGAGAAAACTGACCTCAAGTTCATCGACACCACCTCCAAGTTCGGCCACAGCTGCTTCCAGGCAGTAGAGGAGAAGAAGGTGTTCATGGGACCACTTAAGAAAGACTGAATTGCAAAGGAAGAAGGAGCTTAATATGGGCAGCTGGTGGGATCTCAATAAAAACTATTTTCTGGGATAGGGGGAAGAAATCATACTCACAAACAAGACCACAACAAGAAGAAAAAACTTTAGCAAACTGCACAATGAAAGTTATTTTTTTACTTGTGTATTTTTCAGCTGCTTCTAGATGCTTGCAAGCCAAGAAGTAGTAGCAAATGACACAGCTATAAGAAAATATGACATAATTAAAGCCAAGTGAGGAAATGTGATATCCATTAAGACAAATATTTCTGGTATTTGTTTGACCTCAGAGCACTAGAATTCGGAAGTTGAATACCACTGCATTGGTCCTTGCGTTCCCTCTCTCTGTTAAATGAGATTACGGTTAAGAAGGCTGGTCCCATCTCCAGCACACCCCCATTTGTTTTGTTCTTGTTCTGTTCTTGTTCGGATGCAGCAACCAAGTGTATCTCTAAAAATGAAAGAAAGAGAAAAAAAGACAAAGAAGAAAACCACAATTTCCTGTGAGTCCATTTCTACCCATGGTGACCAGGTGACCACCCATATATGTCAGAGTAGAACTGTGCTACATGGCTTGTCAGTGACTGATTGTTTGAAAGTAGGTCACCAGACCTTTGTTCTGAAGCAACTCTTGGTGGGTTCAAACTACCAGCCTTTCAATAACTAGTCAAGAGCCTACCTACATCACCCGGGGACCCCTAAATGTACTCCCATCACCTTCCCATTCCTGGTTACTTGAGACTCAGTGTAAGGAAGCAAATAGATAATGGTGTGATATAAAGACAGGAAAAAAGTCTCTAGGATAAAAAATTCTGGACATCTGGTGCTGTGGGTTAATGCGCTGGATTGCAAAGTGGGTTTGAACCGTAAGGTTGGTGGGTGGTTCAAGCTCACCAGCCACTCCTTGGAAATCCTGTACATGATCGCTATGAGTCGGAACTAACTCGACAGCACTTAACAACAACATCAATAAGCATGTTTTTGGTTCATAGCATATATCTACCCAAAATGCTTATCCTGGTGGCTAGCTGCAGCTGTCCTGAAACCGACCTATGTCTCTTCTTTTCAGTCTTTTGTTTTGTGGCCAGATTGAACTTAATGGCTGTGGGTAGTGTCCAGGGCAGTGCTCTGTGTCATTGAAGCTGTATTTCAGTATCTCTGTAAACCTGATTTCTTCCGCTTATTTTAGTTACCTTCTACCTGGTTAAATCTGCTTGGGTTTCTTTTAGATACCTGTACTCGGTACAGTAGTTAATCTAGGTGGATTGGTGTCACCCTTGGTTAATGTTTTGAAATTGCCTTATTTGATGCTGAAATATGGCTGTTGGTCATGGTGGATCTCCTCCAACCAGTCTCATTTTATTCCTAGACTGCCTTGCTCTAATGTGCTTTTGACAGCCAAAGATGACGGAGCAGGAATCTTAACTCCATACACCTGCTTTCAGATTGAGAGCGAGGAAGACTGATAAAATGCCCATCTCTGATGTCACCTCAGAAGGGACAGGAAGGCCATGTCTCGTAGATGAGGGTGTTAGACTCAGCTGATACATACAGATACTTGGGGATGTTTTAGCTGACAGAATGAAATAAGGTTACAGTGGCTGGGATTGGAAAGCTGGGAAATTGCTTGTTGCCGCAGCAACTTCTAAAGTAGTCTGCCTTAGAAAAGAAAAGGGGGCTTGCTCTGTTGTATCATGAGCAGCTTTTATGGATCCCAGCAGAGCTGCAGTTATTCCTGATGGTCATAAACAGGTTTCCTCTGAGGCTTGTTTTGATGGTCACGGTGCTGATCAGTGGAACCACTGTAGACTCCCATCGGGCCGTTACATCTGGACAATGAGCTAAACTACTCTAAAATAGTGTCCTAGTTAATCCTTAGACGCAATGCTGAGAGGCAGCTAATGTTCATTTTCTAGATCTGTTTTCTGCCCAACATACCATTCTAAACATGGGACAAAGTGGATCTCTGTGTACTTTCCTCGAAAGCTCCCCTCCCTTTGATCCCACCTTCAAACCAGGACAATGGAGCTGACCACCAAGCAGAGTTACGAGGAAGGGGGAGTTGTTGTCTTTGGCATCCCTACTTGAACCCAGACCCTCAAAACCGCCTTCCCACAGTTGAGGACAACACATCCACCTCTAAAGTCAAGGGCATTTTGCTAAAATGATAATCCCTCTTCAGTTCATATGCTCAGAGAAGAGTTCTGACTTTAGAGCAGACTCTGATTTAGACCTCCACGAGGGTTAAGCAGAGCTGAAGTAACAGGAGGGAGGGAGGGTGTTGAGATCAAGGGGATGCGGTGAAGAGGGCGTGGATGCAAATAGGAGGCTTTTAAAAATCTGCAGAAAAATGCAATTGCAAGATCATGGAATGTTTCCATGAAATATTTTTTACAAGCCTCCTTGTAAATGGTAGTGCAGCACATGCTTTTTAAAAAATGGTAACATTGGTTTAAAAATCCAAACAGGATATAAGTTTTGTGGAAATGTAAGTACACCAAAAGAAAGTGTTGCTGGGCTCAAA